TGGGTGAAGGGAGACGTCGGACAGGGCAAGATATGACAAAATAATAATTTATAAGTTATCAAGGGTACATGAGGGAGAGGGGAGCGGGGAGGGAGTGGAAAAAATGAGGAGCTGATGCCAGGGGTTTGGGTGTAAAGCAAATGTTTTGAGAATGATGAGGGCAATGAATGTACAAATGTGCTAAAAAAAGCAGCCATCTAGCAGAGAAGCAACAAGCCCAAGTGGAGGAAGCACACAATCCCCTCCCAGAGGGTCATAAGGAAGGGATGGATCAACCAGGGCGCAGTATAGCACCGATGAAACACACAATATTCCTCTGGTTCCTTGAGGCTTCCTCACCCTCCACGATCATGACCCCAGTCCTGCGGGCTAGAGCAGAGCATGTGCACAGGTACATATAAGAGATAAGAGTTCACTACACACAGAATCCAGGAATTGGAATGGGAGTAGCCATATCAGAAGGGTAGGGGGAAGGTGGAGAGAGGAGGGGAGGAAGGGGATACCAGTTGCAATGATCAACACATAATCACCAACACCAACACCAACCCAAGGGGGTGAACAACAGAAACTGTGGGGGAAGGGAGACAGCAGTCGGTGTAAGATAGGGAAATAATAATAATTTATCATTTATCAAGGGGTCATGAGAGTGGGAGTCGGGGGAAGGAGGGAAAGATGAGAAGCTGATACCAAGAACTCAAATAGAAAGTACATGTTTAGAAAATAATGATGGCAACATATGTACAAATATGGTTGATACAATTGCTGTATGGATTGTTATAAGAGCCCCCAATAAAGTGACCTTTTAATGGAAAATAATAATTCGCTGCCATTGGGTTTGGTTTGGTTAGGTTTGGGGTGGAAAACAACACATTGAAATAGGAGTGTTAGCCACCAGCTGTGAGCAGGATGCAGCTGTTTCCAACTCTGATGCTCAAGACCATTAGTTGCTATGTAACATACACTGGCCTACTTAAGATGTTAGGTTTCTAGCAGTGCAACAGCCATAATTTTTTACCATTCCAATAATCATTCTGGTATACCTTCCTTTACAAACTCAGGCCTACCCATTCTGGTTTCAGGTCGTCAGCCATGACTAAACCAGAAAGAACTGGTTCGAAGCCCTGCCCAAAAATGTGCTAACTTTAGCTACAGATTTTGGTTTCGTTTCCTGTACTAAAACCGTGCAACGGATTTAGCAGTTCCATTCAGTATGTGTGATGGTTTCCGACTCATCTTGATCTCTCAACAAGATGGAATTACAGAACCACCGTGCTTCAAAAAAGCATCTGCCTTGGATACCCATCTAGTGTTTTCATCTCTGTCAAGTAACTGCCCTCAAAATGGGAAGACTCCATGTGAATGCACTGTGCAGAGATGCACCAGAACTTTCTCAGCCCTTTTCAACCCTTATTACGAGAGTACAACTACCACCAAAGCCCTTAAGGGGCAATGGCCTACACAAGGGCTTCTACCGTCTGCAATTTCACAAGCGGGGATAAAACTCAGGTTGCCAAAACAAAGGTGAACATTCTTCCACTTAACTGCCACTGTCCCAACCTCCTAGGAGAGGAGTGGGCAAAGAAAGCGGTAGAAGCCTTTATGCCAAGGACATGACGTCAATTATACTGAGAAAAGTGGAGTTGTCAAAGAACATTCATTTCCAATCCTTCAGCCACTGTTGTGCCTCTTACTTTTCTCCTGCACATAAAGGTAGCCTTCTGCTGTGAACTGACTGGCTCGCTTGTGGTCCTTGGGATCCTGTCTGATTTTGTTCATAAGCTCTTCCACTTCTGATCTTGTTCCTTCAAAACGATTCCGTGTCTGAAACGGGTTTAAGAATAAAAAGTCATTTTTAAGATCTCCCCCGTTTTTTCATTCACAATTTTAAATCTTTAGGTAACTGTAAGGAAGTTAAATTTGCAGGATTTTTCTACAAACGCCTTTCAATGTAACCGCATTCTTGCCAGAGTATCTTCTTAGTGAGATTCTTGTTCAAAGAAAAAAATCAGTGGTACAACAGCTAATAAGGAGCCAGTGTAACTACGGGCAATTTATTTTTGAATCTTCCTAACACCAAGAATAATTCTACTACTTCATCTATGAATACTTGCCATCAGGACTCACATTATTACTTAATCTTAGATTTTAACTTTTTTTTTTTTAATATCCTCAAAGATGGATCTGAGAACTCTTTCCTTTGCAGTAATGACTCCATCTCAACCTGTTCCCATTGTCCTCGCAAAATGGCTGGGTACTCCGAATGTGACACACTGAATTTCTCTTTGCAAACCAATAAGCATGAGCGGCAGTTTTGCTAGATAATGGAAATTGCCCTTGAAAATAGCATTTCTTCCCAGAAGAAGAGGGGAAGAAAACAAAAAAAAAAAAATAGCTCTCAACAATGTGATACAAATAATATCTTTAATATTAGAACAGACAAATCACATTTCTGAAACCCAGGAGACTTAGTATGCCAATATCTGCCAGGAGGCTACACTGAAATGTATACGGAAGGTGAAATGACAAAATTACCAAGGAAATTTAGGCGAGTCAGCACCACCAAAATCTCGGACATTTCTTTCACCCGTACTCAAAAATACTGCATTAAACAAAAAACAAAAAAAACCCTGCTGATGTGAAACTGTGGCAGAGTGGAAATGAAAATTTATCATTGATCATTGAAATTTTGCAGACTTCTTTTCAACGCAAGCTGCGAGTGAACACACCTCCACACACACAAATAATCTGTTTATGTGCACATATCACTGTTCCTATGTATCAATGTCTCAAACCCTTGAGTTCGTGTCAATAAATTCAATTACAATATAATAATGCATCAAGGTTATTTCCAACTTACTGTTTTCCAAATGTATCAATTTCTTCTCAGATGGGAGAAACCTGAACTGAAAAAAGATGGGAAGATGGGAAGGGAACGTTTCGCTATTTTTAGACGTGCCACATTTAGTTGAATCATGAACTGAAGGGTGCAGAGTTGTCAGGGATTTCATCGTTCTTGGGTCCACAATCAATGCTCATGGAAGCAGCAGGCAAGAGTCAAACAACTCATTGCATTGGGTAAATCTGCTACACAAGGCCTCTTCAAAGTGTCGAAAAACAGAGGTGTTGCTTTGAGGACTAAGGCTAGCTTGACCCCGGCCATTTGTTCAATGGTCTCATATGCATGTAAAGGTTGGACACTAAATAGTGAAGACCAAAGAAAAATCGATGCATTTGAATTACGATGTTGGCAAAGAATACTGAAAGTACCGTGGACTGCCAAAAGAACAACAAAGCAGCCAGAATACTCCTTAGAGGCAAGGATGGGGAGACTTCTTCTCACGTACGTTGGATGTGTTGTCAGGAGAGACCAGTCCCTGGAGAAGGACATCATGCTCGGTCAAGTAGAGGGGCAACGGGAAGGAGGAAGGCCCTGGACAAGGAGGACTGGCACAATGGCTGCAGCGATGCGCTTTGACTAAGAACAGTAGTGAGGATGGCGCAGGCCTGGGGAGTGTTCAGTTCTGTTGTACATGCTCAACTCGATGGTACCTAACAACAAAACGGATGAAATGTGTTCCCCACCAAAAATGTGTGTGCTGCAAACCCTAACCTTTGCCGGTCTGCTCCATGACCGAATGGGTTGTGTTTGCTATGCTAACGGACAGGATTAGTGGAGGGTGTGCCCTGAGTGCATCTCATTTGAGATCTGAGATTTTAAAAGCCAGTAAGTAAGTAGAGCTGCAGAACAGAGATGCCAAACCATAGAAAGCGAGTCAGAAGCAAAATCTGAGACAAGGACCTGCGTCCAGAGCTAGCACACAGAAAGCCTTCCCCTACAGCCAGAGCCTTGATTTCACATTTCTAGCCCAATAACTGTTAGAAATGTCTATTGTTAAAACCACCCACTTGTGGTCTTCTACTATGTTTGACCAACACTAAATAACTATGATGCAAGGAGCCCTGGAGGTGCAGTGGTTGGCCTACACTCATCGGCTACTAACCAGAAGGCCAACAGTTTGAAACCGCCAGGCACTCTGGGGCAAAGGAGAAGCTTTCTGTTCCTGTAGAGTTACAGTCTCAGAAACCCACAAGGACAGTGGTACCCTGCCCTCAGGGCCGCTGTGTGTCAAAAACAACTCAATGGAGGTGAGCATGCAGGCTGCAATGAAATAACTAAGCCAGAATTTGGTGTCATGAGTGGGGTGCTGCTCTAAACACATATATACAACATGGAAGTGGTTTTGATCACATATAACCCCGTTCTTTGGGCACAAAGCACCGGTTCTCAACCTGTGGGTCGCGACCCCTTTGGAGGTCAAACGACCCTTTCACAGGGGCCGCACGATTCATAACAGTAGCAAAATTAGAGATACGAAGTAACAACGAGAATAATATTATGGTTGGGGGGGTCACCATAACACGGCATGAGGAAGGTTGAGAACCACAGGCATAAGAAAAAGGAAAAGCTGACTATAAATCCATCGGTCAGAAATAGTCGCGTTTTGATGGGATCACTTCCAACCTTTCTTTATAACACAGTTTATCATTTTTATATTGTACTTCTCCTACTCATTATTTTAATAACAACACGTGCCCAGGCAGCCACTGCCACACCACTGTCACACTCTAATGTCATGCCACCTCTAGTTCTCCAAGCTCCAGCTGGAGGGAGGAAGTGAGGAGCTGGGACCACCACGGCTCATACAAAGTACACTACCCGCAAATCATCTTTGGCAAAGCACCAGGAAGCAACTAGCCACTTGCAAGTGCGCACCTTCTACTGGAGGGGGTAAAGGAAGCTCATCCTTACAGTCTGGTACTGTGGCACTTTGTGAAATCAGACGTTCTCAGGAGTCCACTGAACTTCTCATTCACAAACTTCCCTTCCAGCAACTGGTGCGAAAGATTACTCAGGACTTCAAAACAAATGTGCACTTCGAGAACACAGCTATCGGAGCTTTGCAGGAGGCAGGTCAGGCCTATCTGGTTGGCCTTTTGAAGACACCAACCTGTGTGCCATGTGATCCATGCCAGACCTGTACCAACTATGCCAAAAGACACCCAGCTAGCAAGTCACACACATGGAAAATCCGT